GATATATAAAATTGTATTAAAAAATAATATAAAAAAAATTATTCTCAAACTATTTTTCAAAAAATTAATTAATATTAATTAAGAATTACTCCCTCTATTTCAAAACAATTGTTCTTTCGTTATGTTAAATTTGTTTTAAATTAATTGTTTTTTCAATTTTTTTAAGTAGGTAAATAGTATTTTTTTACTTTAATCGTATTATTATATACTTATTTAATTAATTATTTAATCACAAAAAATCTTTTATTTTTTTATTTTTTTAAGGATATTATAAATAAATATAAATGTTATATCTAAATTTTTATTTTCGAGAAAAAATAGAAAAATAATAATTATTTTAAAATAAAAAAAATTTAAATTTAAATTTTTAGATAAAACTCCATGAAAAAAGCATATGGAAAGCATTGTTAAACCAAATCTGCTGGTTCTTCGCATTCCCGACTCACGTGAAAAGCATAAAGTCAAAATTAAGAGTGAGAAATGATTTTATTGTTACATATTAATGGTACATTTAATATTTTTGAATATTTTTTTCGCTTATAGAAAAGTACTCTACAATTTCTTATATTTTTGTTGGATTTGCTTCCAGGTCTTTCCTAAATTAGAGATACTGTCATTAACAAGTGATTATGTCGCAATGATATTTGATGAGCAATTTCCAAGGGACCTCTTTTGCAATGTTAAAGTTCTTCGTCTCTTAACTTATGAAGATAAATCACTCTTGTTTTCAATTCGCTTCCTTCAATGTTTCCGCAAGCTGGAAAAGCTTCACGTAGCTGATCCTAATTTGAAGGAGTTATTCCCTTCTGAAGGAGACGCTGATGGTCAGGAGAAATGTGTGGGAACACAGTTACATATTAGAGAGTTGAATTTGGATTTTCTTCATAATCTGAGGCATATATGTAACCAAGACTCAAGAGGAGCTGACCTAATTCTTCAAAATCTTAAAATTCTGAAAGTGAACGCCTGTTCTTGCTTGGTTAGCTTAACAGCATCTACAGTACCTTTCCACAATCTCACCACTTTGGATGTACAGTGGTGCTTCGGGTTAAGAAACTTGGTTTCATGCTCAACAGCTCAAAGCCTGGTTCAACTTGAAACAATGAGCATAACACATTGCAACTCGCTGACTGAAGTAGTTGGAGATGAAAGAGATGGCTTAGAAGATGAGATCATTTTTATGAAATTGAAAGTTTTGAAACTCATACGGTTAACAAAGCTCACAAGCTTCTGTTCAAGACTTAATTTCGCCTTCAATTTCCCATGTTTAGAACGCTTGGTTGTGAGTCAATGTCCCAACATGGAGACCTTCTGTAAGGGAGTCCTAAAGACTCCAATGCTGCAGAGAGTAGTATCACTGAATGACTACTTTTACGATGAGGGGCGTCTGGTGGGTGAATTGAATAGCACCATAAATCAATTGTATGAAGAAATGGTATGGATTCAACTATAAAATTAGAAATGTTTTTATCTTGCAAGCCCTTTATTAATCATATCATCAAATGCAAATTGAAAGTTATTAATTCTTTTTTTTTAGTTGTATTTTTGTGCTATAACTAGAAATGTTTTGCATTTGAAGGTTGGATATGCTGGGTTAAACCATTTGAAACTCTCGGAGCTTCCTAAATTGATGGAAATATGGAACAGGAACCCTCAAGATATATTGCATTTCCGATGGATTTCTTTTTTGGAAATTTGTTACTGTGATAGCTTCAGATACCTCTTAACTCCATCCATGGTGTTGAGTCTTTCTGAACTCCAGGAATTGAGGGTACAAAACTGTGAAATGATAGAGCAAATCATCACAGTAGAGGAAGTTATAGAGGTACCAGAAAATAAAATGATATTCCCCAAACTGAACACCCTTGCTCTGAAGTCTTGTCCCAACTTGGTAAGTTTTGTTGTGGGAAGTTATAAACTTGAGTTTCCATCATTGTTTTCTATCAACATGGATAATTGTCCAAAGATGGTATCATTTTCAACATTTTCAATAATGCAAGAGAAAGAGACAACTGTTGCAGGAAGTGAAGAAAGGCTTGATATCTCTACTGAACCATTTTTCAGTGATCAGGTTAGCTTTTTCGTGAAGAATTTTTCTTTTTACACATTTTTCTGGATTCCCGTTGCACTTTCATTGAGTAGTTGCAACTTGGACTGTTCCACTTCTATTATTTACATAAATATAAATACTATATGTATAGAGCATAGTGCATATCATTCTTGATTTCAAGAAAAAATTGGAGTCTCATTTTAAATAATATCATTTTATTTAATTAAAATTCAATTCAAAATTTAGAAGTTTACCTTATTAATTAATATTTTATAAGGTAAATTTTTGAATTTTTAATGAAGGTATCAACATTTTTTTTAAAAGTTGAGATTAATATACACTATTCTAATAAATATATATTATTGGTATTTATCAGCCAAGCCTCTAAAAATTAGAAGGGAAAGCACCTCAAAATTATGCTGTTTCAATAAAACATTACGGAGAAGGACTAAAACACTCCCATTTATATATAGGAAAGTGTTTGTTAGCTAAGTTGGACCATAGGCCCCCTCAAATAGCATTTGTAAAGGTAGCAATACATGAATTCTAGGTAGAGACATTCCCTTGCAAAGACATTTTTTCTAAATCATCAGCATGTTTAGGCATATAATAATTTGAAATCATCTTTGAGAAATAACTTGATTTAGAATCAATGTCATACATATTGTTTTGTTTTCCTTTTTTAAATTATAAAATGTCTGTACTTTGCAGATTGAGTTTACCAGCCCTCTTTCTCTGACATTGTCCTCAATGAACATGCAACAAATATTCCAGAAACTACTTTCAACAATGCCTTCTGTTGTTCGAAGTCTAAAAGGCTTGACTCTTAAAGGATGTACTAATTTGAAATATCTATTAACAACTTCAATGATTAAAAGTTTTGTGCAACTCCGAACTCTTACAATTTGTGATTGTAAGATGATGAATGAGGTAATAGTAACAGAAGGATTAGTAGAAGAAGAAAGGATGTTGTTCCCAAAACTTGAATCCCTACAACTTGAAAGCCTTCCCAAACTCAAAA